ATATTTGTAGACACCTGGAGATGTCAAATGTATGAATATTCTTGGACTGATGGCCCAGTTGCAGACCCAGTTCTTCCTGTCACTGATAGAGAATTGTAGGTTTCTTGTGTATTCTGGTAGCAGAGAAAGTTTATATGCTTTTGTTGCTAAGTTTTCTATTTTTCATTTTTCAGAATTTAAATCAAACCTTTTTTCTTTCTTTTTTTTTTCAAAAAAAAAATAATGTTCAGGTCAATGCATTTTTGCTTTTAGTTTAATTGGAAGGTTGTCCGGTTGGCAGGTTTTGTTTGTTTGATGAGGTTTTCAATTCCCTAAGGTTAGAGTGGTTTGTGATAACGTCTTTCTTTTATAACCACTGAAAGGCACAATCAATGTTTATGTTATTTTTCAGTATTCTAGTATAAGTTTACCACTTTCTTAATAGAGTCAGTGCCTATTGATAATGAAGGGCAATCAATACTTATAGCAGTCACCATCTTCCTCCTTTTTTGTTTTGTCATCAAAGTTTTCTTCTCTGTCCAGATACTCTGCTTGAATTGAACAGTTGCTGGTGCTTAGTAAACATGAAAAACAGTGAGGTTGACATACAAGGTAGGATGGATCTCTAACTTGTCACTGGCCTTGACATAGCCGTTCCCTTGGTACAGAAACAGAGCTGCGCTTGGCATCAGAGGCCAGTGGGGTGCTGGCTGCAGGAGGAGGAACAAACTGTGCAAGTGCTCATGTTGGCTGGAAATGATGACTCACTTCTATCCAAACATGATGCACTAGTGTCCAGTATTATTGTGGAGGATTTCTTGAGAGTACTCTTGACTGCTATCCTTGATAGACTCAACTCAGCCACTGCTCATACATCATTGCATGAGAATGATGCCAACCCTAAAATAGAAATAAACACAGTGGCACTTCAATTCAAATTACAAAAGGGAAAGGTTTCAATTTTGTATTGAGGAAATGCACTGTTCCTCCATCAAGCCACTAAAACGTCCTGCATGCAGCTGTGGGATGGAATGAGGACTTAGGGAAGAGGAAACAGAAGGAAAGTATGAAAAATTGAATCAGAAGATGATAAGACTAGAACCAAGTGCCATTTTAGTCTCTCTGATAATTTAAAGAGAAAAATTTGAATTTACTTATTTATTTATTTTTTCTTTCTCCTTAACAAGAATAATCAGTTCTCTCACATGCCCTGTTAGGGACTTTGTTCTGTTTCTTTGTAGATCTTGAACATTCACAATCCTTGTCTTCAGTTCTCAGGGCTGGTATTAGCAGGCATTATTTGAGCAAACTTTCTGTAGAGGAATTCTCACAGAAACACTCTAAGATGTCTGCTACTCAGGAAAGAATTATCAAGTACTGAGAACAGCACAGCAGGTGATCATTTCAAAATGGAGTCAAAGCTGTAGTAAAGCATTTCCGTCAAGCTAAAATAAGCCAGGTAGACTAGAACTAAAGCAATCACGTGGTGCAGGCACATGCTGAGTAGATGTAGCATTGCTATTTTATCATAAAATCTTCAATACTTCATTGTATAAAAAGGCATCACTTGCTCAGCGCTATCATTCTCTAGTCTTTCCGGGTAGGTTAGCCCAGGGCTCCTCAGGTGTCATCCAGATACACATATGTATAAAGGCACTCAGAGTAAACTCAATGCATGCTGGATATATCAGACATGCTGTTCATCTGGGGGTTGATTCTGCAGTGAATGTATCTGGATTGCTAGCTGAAACTGTACTTCAGTCTATTACATGAACATACAGCTTATATGCGGTTATCCAGGGTCAACTCTGTTCCATGCAGAACATCCAGGCTCCGTGCCACGTGCCTGATGCCTCTAGAAGGGCTATCCAGATCTCTGGATGCTGGGTAGGCCACTCAGACTTACTGCTCCAAGGGGTACTCTGTATATTTTGAAATTACAGGGGAATAGCTAAATGCTTTATCTGTTCCTGAACAAAATGTCTGAGGACAAAATGCCAGGAAAATTCAGACACATGGTAACTTTATCCTGGGAAAAACAGTTTCTTCATTTAACATACAGGAAAATACAGAATGTGGGTGTCTTTCTGATTTCAAAAGGATATATTTTTTAAAAATTCTGCTGTCTTCTTTCTCTCCCCCGTTTGTTTTTAACCAAAACTATTGCTACAGGAATTTTGGCCAGGGTGCTCAGCAGGCCAGTGTGGGTGAAAAACGCTGAGCTTGATCTTAAACTAATAAAAACAGCTTAAACTAATAGCAGCAGGGATCCTGGCATGCCTGAGTGGCTCCGCTCAGGAGCCTGTGACACACTGAGCTGGATAGTGGTTTTTAGGCTAGAGCTCTGGTGTCTAGCTCCTAGAAGGCAGTGATAGTGTAATCTTTTTCTTTCTGTTAGAAGTGTTCTTCTTGTCCTGTGTCTTGGACCTACCGTGTGGGCAGTGGAAAAGGAAGAAAGTCCTGTCACCTCTCTAGATCTCCTTAAGCATCTTGCTTCCCCACCGTGAGAATAAAAGTGAAGGAATTGTTCCTGAATGGCATACAATACAGGGATTGTTGGCTGACCCCCTGCACTGGCTGCTTTCAGGGAAGTCTGCAACTCAGCGATCTTGGAAGGGTAGCCTGAGGTTAGTTTTCTCATTTTAGTTGGCGGTATAGACACAAAACAGCACTTGAACATGCATCTTTCTGGATCATCTTTAAAAACATCATCTGCAGTCAGCCCTGGAGACTTGCACCGTTTTACTGCAATATATACATACCATTCTGCCTGGCAGATGAAAACAGTAGTGTTTTAATTGTGCAGCAAATAAAGAAGAAGTATGGCTTGTATATGCATAAATACTTATTTTACTATCAATAACACTCACCGTACGTAAGGAGAATGATAGCATTTAAGAGCAATTGAGCTTGTTCTGGTCATACTCTAAACAGATGAGAGCAGTAGTTGTTTCTACAATCCCCATTCTTTAATGTTAAAATAGTACTTGAAATTACTCAAAGTTCAGTGTAAATGTTATGTGCTGGCTGCTCTGTGTTGATATCACCACGTTGTATTTTTCAGTAGCAAAGTAAATAATTAGCACACACGAAGAGGCTATTTTGATAACAAATGGCATACAGTGCCACTTAATCCAATATAAACCTATTGTTTCTGTCTGTCAAGGCAGCACATATAATCCATAGGGCCATGGCCTCATAAATTCTAATAATCTGCCCAAGGTAGGTCTGATTACTAAGTCTCTTGAACTGGACTAGTGCAGAAAGATGATTCAATACTTGTGCATCTTCCTTAAAGCCACTACTGATCCAGTGACCCGGAGTAGCTGTAGGAAATATTCTGCCTCTGGACATGCTGTCAGACTCAAGTTCTCCTTACAGCCAGACTGAAAATGATGAAATATAAACTGTCTGTGGAAATTGGAGCAGACCTACTCATAGCATGTGGGAAAGGGCAATTTAATTCAGCTTAGGATGCAGTACAGTAGCCTTGGAAAAAGTTTTCTAGCAAACCCTGTAGTACAAGGGGATTTAGACAAACAGTTGGTTTCCTCACCTGCAGCCTCTTTGAGGCAAAAAATAGGACTTTTCATACAGGTATTGTTGTTAAGAGGAAAAGCCAGAGACTAGAGCCCACTTACCTGGCAGGGTACCTGACAAGCTCACTCTGAATGCAAGGAAGGTGACCTGATTATCAAAAGTAGGGTGGCAGACCCTTTCACAGTGATCTTGACATCACCATGAGAGGTATGTCCGCCCCTGAACTTCTCACTACTTGGTAATGAAAAGAACAAAAGTACCAACAAATTTTGAAGGCATCCAGAACCCAAAGAAACACATTTTGAGTTGGTGTTTGCCCAAATGTGAGACATGTTGGTTGAGGTGTAATGGGATAGCACTGGGGTTCAAAAGAAATGTGTAAAATAAGGTTCCTCCTTTCCTAATGACTGATGCAGATGAGTTTAGTTTTTCTTGAAGCAGACACTGCTTTCCATAATCCATGATGCTCTTTTAGGCTGCGGATTCTTAGGGCTGTTCCTTTCTCTTTCTACAACTTATGCAGTCATCAGATGAAAAGCATAGCTGCCGTGAGCTTGAAAGTGAAGCTTCCCTTACCTTGAAAGTACTATTTCTCACTCCCCATAGCCTTGCTTTGAATCACTGTGACAAGCAAAAAACTGCTAACCTTAACTTTCCTCTTTCTAATCAGGCAACAACATTAAAACTCTTAATGAATGCCACCCCTTCCGGGTGGTTGCAGATAAATATGTTTTCACAGAGTAATTGCTTCCTGGACCTCATTTTAATTGGAGTCAAAGGGGGGCTGTGGAATTCCGCTGCCTTCATCTCCCACCGGCTTGTTGTGCTGTACTGGGTCTGGCTGGGATGTTAACTTTCCCTGCAGCAGCCCATACAGTGCTGTGCTCTGCACTTGTAGCTAGAACAGCAGTGGTATCACACCAGTGCTGTGTCTGCTGGTGAGCAGTGCTGGCACAGCATCAGGATTCTCTCTAACCCTCCTAGGGAGTGGGCAAAAAAGTGAGAAAGGAACATCACCAGGATTCACTGGAGATGGATCCTTTTTCTAGAAGAGGAAAGAAACCACTTGCCAAAAGAAAACATTTTTGTCAAAGAAACTCCAACAAACCAGCAGGTTGGATGGGGTCATACACAAAAGATAGTCAGGGTTTTTTGTCACTTGAGAGAGAATGTAAGTTTCTGAGACATGTGCTTTAGCTATACATTTAAAATGAAATTAAGAGTAGCGAAATGGTAACAGTATTGTTATTATCAGTCTTCAGAGTTAATATATTCTAAGGTGAACAAAGTAATTCATACCCATCCAAGCTATTGTTTCAGACAGTGACTGCAGACATTTCTACTCTTCATAGTATTCCAATTAATGTTTCCTAAATTATAGTCACAATCATAAGGACTAGAAACTATGACTACTCAAAAAACTGTACAGATACAGCAGTATGGAAAGAAATTGTCTCTTATTTCAACATTTTAAAATAAGTTTTGTTCAGTTCTTTCTGTATTAAAGCAGAAATAACTTTATAAAGCTGCAGCAATATGATTGCCTTTTTTTAAAAACATTTCATAGCTTTGACTTTTTTTGATTAATTCTGCTAGAATGTACATCCATCCTTCGGTCTTCTTTATATCTTTTCTTGGAGAACCTAGCTATTGGAGCAGTTTCGTGACAGGCTTAAAATTCCCCAGTACCATATACACAGTTACACAAGTCTCTGCACCTGGGTGTCATTCGGTGGTAATCACCGTGCTAATGTGTTGCTTCTTTCAGAGCTCTCTGATAAAGGGCTAATTATCCTTGCCAGCTCCATACACAGTTGTGTGTTTCTAGAGAGGACAGTTGCTCCTCATCATGACTGCCTAATTAGGCTGATTGGTTCACAGCACCAAGCCAACCTGATTGAGAAACATGTTTGGCTCAGTGTCCTGATTTCTAACTGTTTTTGCCTTGCATTAAATGAACCTTTACTGACGTCCCTCACAAGCTGCTTTTCTGGACAGAATTGAGGCTGAATGCCTAAGGTAATGCCAAAGAAGTAAAGCCCGTCCTGTTGACATGCTGTGGGTAAGCTGTATCACACATATACAGAGGTCATAGTTTTAGGTTGGGGCTGTTTTGAGGGAAAAAGTGGGTGGAGAATTTGCAGGTTAAGGACTTGGAGAGACTCACAAAACATCAATCAGTACATGGAGATTAGGGCGTGCTGTTTAAACTGGCTTGTCATTGGTAGATGGTAGCAGGGCCATCTCAAATTGCTTTAAATCTGTATAGAAGGTATGCCTGTGTGGACTGTGTTTGTTTCAGAGACTGAGAGAGGCCACATCAGATGCAGTTTTGGACCCCAGTTCTTGCAGACATTTCATAATTTAGTGCTTCCATTCAATTCTATTCTAGTGACTGAGACGCTTGCCTAAGACCACTGACCCTAGAAAATGCAGCTTCCAGTGTTGCATAAGATATAAATTTTGTAGTATCATCAATGTGAAAACATGTGAAGAGGCTACACTTGGTGAGTTGCACTGGAGCAGAGAGAAGGATGCGATAGGGATGTGACTGAGATTAACTGTCTGATTAATAGGCTGCAAAATCAAGAGGGAAACAGAGGGGAGAAGGCTGCACTGTGAGAAGCACAATTCAGATGTATGTTTGTCTTTTTCAATTCCAAACTTGGAGATGTTTAGACTGGTGAGATTTATTCACTCTGTAGTTGTGGTCCAGGAGCTAATTTTGTTTGCTGTAATTCTTGTGATCAAAACAATTAGTACAGCACACCATGCCTTTGCAGTGTTCATATGTATATATTTTAATGTTTAATATTCTCCTAAATGTGGGAGTACCCTACTAACAAAGAAAATGTAGGTCTTACAATGCAGCCTTTAAATTATTTGCTGACTTTGACAAGCAGTTACACAGCATTCATGTGACAATGTTAAATTTAGTATGGGTAAATGTTCTTTTTGTTGACCCTTATAAGGGAAATGGTTCTAAATGTCTGGAAACCTAGATCTATCAGGTGCTCTACTGTGTTCAAGTTTTGTGGTTTGTTTTTTTGTTTGTTTGTTTTTGTTTGTTTGTTTTTGTTTTGTTTTGTTTTAAAGCTAAGGCACTCCTAATACCAAGTGCATCAAAGTTTGCTGAAATCACTTTCCTTTGAAATAGATGAACCACCTGACAGATTGACATCAAAATCAGACACATTTTGCAGTTTCATTTGATTTCATGTGGAAATGTTTCATAATAGGATATTCTGCTGTGAAAGTTTCAGGTGCTGTCATCAGCTTTGAAAACACTGCGGTGAATTCCACCATTCACGTATCAGCAAAACTAAACCCAAACCCCACATTCCAGCCAAGATGTGAATTCTTAAGGATGAGTAAGGGTAAAAGAGCAAGATAGTAAGGGATTTAAATATATATATGTATCAAATTGTACAAATTTGGGACACAAGAAGCTCATGCAGCTGCAGCACTCTGCTCCATTTGATACATTTTCCATTTCAAATATGCATCGGTATGTAGAGCTCACATCCAGTAAGAATTTTACATTCAGAAAGAAAAGCTCATTTGAACACAGTATACCCAGTGAATTCCCTCCTTTTGTAGAAAGACCATTGCTCATGAGTATTTGCCTAGAAAAAGGCTTATGTGAAGTACGACAGATAAGCAAGCAAAGCATTTCTACAAGCACACTTCATGTTGTTCTTACAACATGAGCTCACATAGTTTGACCAAGAGTGAGCTCACATATGTTTGACCAAGGTCAAGGTTCTCTATGTTTGACCAAACTATGTGAGCTCACATAGTTTGACCAAGGTCTAATGACTCACAGATTTGAAAGGCTTTAGCCACGCCATAAATGATAAACACTGTACAGCTTTGTCTGAAGAGACAGGAGAAATTATGTACAACTATTCCAATGAAAGGCTAAGGTATACTCTGGGTGGGAAAGCGTAGTTTACATTGGTCTAAGAGTGGGGGAATTAGGAGACGTTTGATGATTCAATAACTAGATATATAGGTATTAGTCTTTAGAGCATATTGCTGAATATCTTCATGCCAACATGACTGAAGCTTTACAACAGAAAAGGTGGGCTTAGAAAAGGCTCAATAAACATTGATATGATACTTAATATACTTTTCATTGTCAATTTAGAAATTTAGGAGTGAACAAAAAAACATTTCTTTTCAGTTTAAACAACAGACCTTCATGCTAGCATCAAGACACAGTGACCAGTGAGTCTACGGTGGATAGGCATTCATTTCTGATAAATAGTGGGCAGTTCTTTCTCTCAGCTCAGTAGAAAAATACATCCAAGGAGGCAGCAAATCAATGACCAAACCCTACCTTTCTCCCCAACATGTTGTGAAACCTGCCTGCATCCCACTTCCAAATCTACATGGTGTGAATACAGGCGCACAGATTTTGTGTAGACTAATTACTCTATAATTCCACATTTTCCTTCCCCACCTGGGGAAGAATGGAAGATCCTCTGGCTGCAGCTTGAATGGGCATGTTCAGATACTTTCAGACCTGTCCCCCAGAAGCCTTACTGTTGGTGGCTCCCTACTGGGTCTGCAGTAAATATCAAGACACCAGAAGTGCTCTTACTGAGCAACAACTCACCTCCTTCATGTTGGGAAAACCTATCTGGTTGGTTACAACTCTGCCTCATCTGATAGGCATTGTGTTTCTGCATCTGGCAATAAATCCTACTAGAGATTAGAGTATAGAGGTATTCTCAGAATAAAACAATAATATATTAAATTTGTTGGAGAGCCCTGACAATCTGTTTGTTAGATCAGTCCTCCAAGATCAAAGTTAGCCCTATAAGGAATATATAAATCATTTACTTGTCCGGGAGTGATAATAGAATATGAGTTGATAATGAAGGTGACTAGTTAAAACAGAAAATCTTTGTTTCTTGAACTAACGTGTAACATTTGAAAGGAATTAAGAAGAGACCTTGAGGCAGAAATGAGGACATGGCTTTTAAACTGTGATGAAATTCATTGGAATAGTTACACATCTTTATGAGACAGATTAAAAGAAAATCTACAGAAAATAGGAAAGGACAATTCCTAAAACCAGGAATTGTCCTTTTTGAGTAGGGATGTCTGACACCTAAGACGAATTGGTTCGGTTTTGTCATTTAAAATAGTAACAGATATTTTGTCAAGTTACTCCCACATGGGTAGACATTTACAAAATGAGAGCAACGATTCCATTAACCTGTGTCTCTTCTGTGGTCCCAGGTGATATAGTTTAATATAGTTTCTGTAATGCCAAGATAATACTTATTCTTCCTTTTGGTGTATTCTTCTGTAAATTTGCCTTCAGCTCATATTATACCCTCTGGCAGTAGTGAAGTTGAAGGTCGAGAATGGGGGTTTTAGGCTTGATCTAAAAACAACGTTTAAGAGCTATCAAAATGTAACTTCTAAATGTGTCTTCAGATGCAACTTGAGTTTCCAGCTTATCTTGTTTTCTGGTCTTATTATTCCTATAAATAGTAAAAAGTCCTGTTTTTAAAGGAAAACAGTATGAAGAGCATAGTCCCATAGTGTCTTGACTCATAGCTATTTCAGTGGACATAGGTGGAATCCTCTTTCCATACATGGAATGGAAAGAGGTCTAGATATTGGCTATCAGATAGCTCCTCCACCTTTTTTTTTTTTTTTTTTTTTGAGCAGGGTTGTTATGTGAAATAGTCTATAAAACGTATATGTATTCAGAGAAAACTTACATTTTCAGGAAGGAATTTCACTCCAACATTAATTTCTGTTTTATATAATGATCACAACTGATGAGATTAAATACTTAACAAAATAGCTATTGGTGTACTTCATGGCTCTAGGAATTTATGACCAGTCTTCTCAAAGGTGAAATTACTGGTGTAAAACTATTTTCCAAAGTAAGTTTTTGTTTTCAGGGATCTTTCTGTCTCAGTGACAGAAAAAGAGAAATAATCAGGGCAATTCAGTATAATCAAGTGGTACAAGAAGTGCTGGAAGGCAGTAAATATTTGAAAGTTATATGTACAGAACTTTTTTTTTCTTTTTTTCATGCTATTTGAAGGGAAAAAAAATAAAAAGGATAAAGCACAGTCAAAATTGATGCTGATCTCTGAGGCTAAGACTGTCATGAGTGAAAACTTTAGGGATGTTTGTCTGTATTCCATTTTTTCATTTCTCTGCTCTTTTAGGAATTTTAATTTTTTCTTGGATAATTAGCTCTCTGATACTAGATGCATATAATTAACAGGGAAAGTGGTTTGCCTGCTGACTATAATAGCACTGTCTGATCTGTTTGCCAGATAACTGTGTTGACCTGTTTTTTCAGAATCATTTTATTCCCACAGATATCTCACCAGACATCCTTATCTGGAACCATCTGTATTTGGTTGCAGGGATGAAATCCTGGGACCATTTACTGATTTCAGTGGTCCCAGCATTTTGCATGCATCTTCAAAATTCCCCTTTAAGATAATTCTCTTTAAAAACATTTAGTTTTTTGGAAGTTGAATGTGAATGTCTTCCCCTTGTCAGTAGTATAATATGACTGAAACTTCACATGCAAAGCTATGTTGCTCAGGGATGGTGTTTTATAGAATCGGCACAGAAGCTATTACTGTAATTCTCAAAGTGCCTCCCTAGATGGGAGGGAGATATGTTCTCTTATACTACGAGAATTCTCTCTAAAAAGTTAACTTTATCCGTCTTTGGTTAACCAAAGTTTGATGCCCTGGTGTCATTCATGTCTTTTGGAAAACTGTCCCCATGTCTTTTTTGATAGCCTATTTACCAGCTGCTAAGCAAACAACATCTGACAATAAAGGACTTGGAAAAAAATGTTTTTTTTTTTTAGCTGCATTATTATCATGTATTTGACTCTACTGTCAACTTCCTTCTTACATCTAGATTAGATAAAATTCAGGTTCAGTGGAATAAAGCTTTCAATCATGACTTTTTTAAAAAAAAAATACGGACGTAAGGTGAGTGAATCCAGCACCAGATTATTTTTA